GGAGAGTGTCATCCGGGAAGACCATGTTCCTCTTGCTGCACCACATATCCGCCGCTGTTAGGACATACAGCAGAACCACCAAGAACACGGCAACGGTGCTGGCCACAGTGTAAGCCGCGAGGAAGGGTACACCGGCCCCTGTCCCCGTGTTGCAACGTACAAGAGGCGGCCTGTCAACATACACCGACGAGTAGACGGCAAAGGGAAGCAGGACCAGGAGAGCCGTAGTCCATGTTGCCGCGGCTAAGAAGCGACAGCGGGTGCTCGTTATCAGGTTGTGGTATCGCAGGGGCTTCGTGAGGAACAGGTATCTGGAAGATGGTTCTATCGTGAGAAGAAACAGCAAAAGAAAGAGAAGAGAAGAGAAAAAGAAAAAAATACATGTACTATAATATTGCCCATTGCTGTTACATATATACAATAACTATATTATTATTTTGCTTGTTTAGAGGTAATCATTATTATCCCTGATGCTGGATGTATTAACAATATGCGTATACTGAAATGGTAAATCATTGATATTTCCAGTCTTGAAGTATATCATACAAGTAGTTTGGAAAAATATAACTTTCGATAGATTTTTGTTTAACCATAGGATGATTTATTTCCAGCCTACCTTTGTCACAGCATATTCTAAGGATAATCATATTGTTCTGAAAAGGGAATGAAATGATGTCGGAACAGTGCTGTGCTGGCGTGAGCAATTTTTATGGGCGAATGGTCATGTCTGCCTTTTCGGTACCTTTAATATGTGTGTGTGTGTGTGTGTGTGTGTGTGTGTGTGTGGTGTGTGTGTGTGTGTGTGTGTGTGTGTAATTCCAGGATTAACCAATTATTTTATGAATTAGATGTATCATTAAATTTGTGATTTTACATGATTTAATTATGCTAGTGTTTAAATGAAATGGTGAGCTTGTCGACATTCAATTGCCAAATGTTATGATTAATGAGCGGCCTCTGGTGTTTACATTGGAAGATTATGAAAGATTAAAGATTTAGTTTAAATTACATTTGTTACAATGGATATTCTTTTGCTGTGGCATGCAGTCTGTTTTATTTTGCTTCTAAATCATCCCCTGTGTGCAAGGAATGGCCAGGGTGACCATCCACTGGCAGCGCGCAGGATGGATCGCAGGTCTGCAAGATTGCTAGACAAGAATGATGACCGTTGCAGTCTAAAAAGGCAATTTCGGTATCTATTATTATTATTACTTTAAATAAAATTTGAATGTTGGGCCGTTTCAAGTTTCATCAAGCACTAGAATTAAATGAATTTTTATTCAGTGAAGAGACAATGGTGAGTCCATTTAGAATACGTGAAACTGGTTGGTTGGTCTGTGTAATATTGAATTACGTTTGTGACCAAGCGAAAATGTTTATTGATGAAATAAACAGTGTGCAACTAGCAGAGTTCGATTACATTCTGTCGCAACTATTCCAATTTCAATGTTTTTGCTGTCCTTGAAGAGACGGAAGATTACACAAATGAGCAATTTCAAAGGATGTAAGTCAAGTACTTTGTCCCTTTTGGTCGAACTTTCCTTTCTCTGTTGAGGGATATTACAAGGCAAGTAAAGTTTTAAGGAAGTTGTGTTACTAACTACCAAGTAAACCGCACTTCATAAAATGTCTGACTTTACATTATCGGAAAGGATATATAAGCCTTACTGTTATTACAAGAGAAACGTGAACTCATGAAAGTTCCGAGACAATATCTTTATTTTCTTCTTTATTATGTAGAAACCTTCCAGACATTATCCTCTAATAATCAAACAGTAATGATTCCTTAACCAAGGCTCCCTATGCAAACTATGGTTTGGAACCTCAATGTTACATATCCACCCGAGCAAGGACTGAAATTACTGTTTCCAGTTTGTTACGAATAAAAATTATCACATGTACATCCGAATACGGTTATAAAGTCAATGACGAAAGTACAACACAATATCTGTGATTGTGACACACTCAATCATACTATACAACAATCTGTTTCTGCGTCTGGGATTACTTGGTATTGTCTCAAGAGGTTCTAGAGGGGATTTGCTACATAAAACGGTGGCATTACCGGATTGGATACCTTACACAGAGAAAAGTCGGTATGTCGGGAAGCGGTCTAACTTTAGTTATCATGATGCTATTGACGTGGAAACGCTACCCAGCAAGGGAAAGATCTATTTTTGAAATAAAGAGAGGTATATATATGGATAGAGAGAAAGAGAGACTGCACAAAAATCCGCTTACCTGTCTAAAGCCATGCAAACGAGGCAGAACAGATCCACCAGGTGCAACACGTGAAGAACCACAGCAGAAAGGAGACAGTGCCACCAGAGAGTCCTATCGTGTCCCAGCAAATTGAAGCATATGAGACGCGGCAGAGGATAAGCGAAGGTGTACAACCCGAGGAATAAGTTAGTGAGAGAGAGGTTGTTGGAGAAAAGCGTAGAGGCTCTGTCGTTCAGTATCGCGCTCCTCTTGTTTATATACAGCGTGACTGCGGACTCGCCGACGATGACGAGGCCGAAGATTATTGAACTCGGGATGCTGAGGTAGTACTTGAAGGTTTGATCTTTCAAGGACGAGGTGAGGTTCGTGTAGCAGTTCATGGTGGTTCTCGGATGCAAAGGTCGACATCGATTCTTGCTTTTCTCTCCTTCAATGAATTCACCAAAGAAATGAGATTATTGTGATAATAGCGTAGTGATAAAGTACATAGAAATAATGATGATAATGATTTTAATATTAGGAGAGGGACAATAGTAATACTAATAATAATGATGATATTAGTAAAGGTAATGATGATAACAATAATGATAATAATGATTATGATGATAAGGGAGTGCCAATAAGAATAGCAGTGTTAACAATAGTTATGATAATGATAATAATAACAATAATAATAGTAATAATAATTAATAACAGGACCTTCATCAATAATATCAGTAATAATAGACATGATACTTATAATAAAAATGATAATGAAGATGAATTTCACCTTGGTAAAATGGAAATACTTATAATAAAAATGACAATGAAGATGGAAATATATTATAGTGATAAATGTAATAAAATAGCAATAATGAAGATAATATTATTGATACAATTAAATTGATAGCGATGATAAAATTGAGAATGATGAAATTAACGAAGATAAAGATTATCATTATCATTATTATAATCAGTATTATTTCTATCATTGTTGTTATTATTATTATCATCATCATCTTCATTATTGATTATTATAATTATTGTCATAGCTGTTACAATTACTACTACTACTACTACTACTACTATTACTACTACTACTATTGTTATCAATTATTTTTATCATTATTATTATCATTATTGTTATGATTATTATTATTATTATCCCTTCTGGTAAAAAAAAATCTGAAAATTCTATTCATAACTTTTCGAGTTACTCTGCCAACCAACCAACGGACGTACAAACAAACAAACACGACCAAAAACACAACCTGCTTGGTGAGAATAATAAGAGCGCTAATCAAAAAACTAATATTAACAATACTGATCTTATTAATACATCTGTTATTAGTAATAATAACCATGTCAACGAGAAACACTGGGAGAGCGCACACCTCTGCCAAGACAATAAGATCCCTGATGCAATAAAAAATATTCACACTTGAAGAATTACATGAAAATCACCTCTTTCCCAAGTACACGGGTGACGTCCATACACATAATCTTGGTGGAGACAAGGCAGTAGGAATAATGATACATTAACTAATAACTAGTAACTGATACAATCATTTAAAAAAGATTCCTGGGTCGGGGTGACAACTCGGGTCACCATCACAATTTCATTTGATTTAAGTTAGGCTAAAGGCGCTGTCACACTAGCACCTTTTCCGTCAATTTTTTTGACAATTGTATTTAGCATAAGTACAAACATTCTCGAATAAAGCTTTTGATTTGACTTTGTTTGGCTGAAAAAGTTGACGGAAAGGTTTTCAGACGGAAACGATCATTATCGACTGACTGGAAAATAATAATAATAATTGCAATATATAAGAGTAATCAAAATAATCATAATGACGACAATAATGAAAATACTAATAATGGAAATACTATTAATGATAAGAATAATATCAATAATGATAATAACGATAATGCCGACAATAATCATATCAATAATGATAATGATTACTGAAACAATAATTATAAAAAAATGCTAATAAAAATGATAATAATGATATTAATAATGCTGATGATAATGATAATAATAACTAGGATGAAAATTGTAACAGTAATGATGATGATCATTATCATCATCATAATGATAATACTACAAGCAAAATGAATGGCATTAATACTGATAATAATGATAATGTTGATGATAATAGTAATAGTAATAAAAATTATATTGATAATGATTATAATAATTATAATAGCAACTGTGATAATAAAGAATAAAAATTATAGTAATAATCATAATGGTAATCATGATAGATATATTAATGATAATGAGGATAATAATGATAGTAATAATAATAGAAATAAAAATATAATGACAATAAAAATAATAATAACTAAAAGCAATCAGAGAGCGCATACCTCCGCCAAGGCAATAGTGTCACTGATGCAATGAAAATACTCACACTTGAAGAATTACACCAAAATCACCTTTCTCAAGTACAACGGTGCCGCCCATAAAGATAACCTCCTTGATAACTTCTTGATTTATCCTGCTAACCAACGAACAAATAACATCAAGACACACACCTCTGGTAAATTTCATTAAAATCTTTTCATAACTTTTTGAGTTATCCTGCTAACTAACAAACAAACGCTACTGAAAACATAAACATGATACTATTACTACTACTGTCAATGATAATGATAATGAATTATGATGATAATGATAATGAATTATGATGATAATGATAACAATGATAATGATAATGAATTATGATGATAATGATAATGAATTATGATGATAATGATAATAATTATGATGATGAATGATAGAACATGAATAA